TATATATATATATATATATATGAATGCGTATTGGCGCAAATAATTAAAGTTTTTTCATGAGTGTGAGTTTGATTTTTCTTAGTTACTTTCTTTACTTGTTGAGTAACTCTTTCCTAGAGATTTTCGATGCCTAGGAAGAGTTAGTGGAGTAGTTATAATTGGATGAAATTATTTACTGTTTCATACTTTCAGCTAAAAAATACCCGTTGGTCAACCACTTTTTTTAAAATAAAAAATATAATATATTATTAATATAATTTCCCCGTAATGTTAACATATTATTATAGTCTTCAAGAAAATTGCTAATAATATAATCTCTAATATTTTTAATTATTAACTGGAAACTCATTAAAATTACAAAATTTGATGAATATTTTAATGAATGTCATTTATAATTTAATAGTTATTAATTGATTAATAATAAAAATTATACATTAAAGAGTAATTACTAAAACCCCTATTTATTTATTAATTTTGTGATGAATACTTGAAGAAACCAGAGGTGAGGAAGACCCATAAAATAAAATAAAAAAGAAAATGAAGAGGAGTTGAATGAATGGAGTAGCTAGATACAATACTTCCAAATTTAAAAACCCCTTTAGTCCACACCTCATTCCACTTTCTAAAATTCTGATACCCCTTTTTGAAAACCAGACACCAATCATCAAACAAACTCTCAAACTTCAAAACACCACACAACACAACACAGCACCCTCTCTCCAAAAAACATAAACTCTCCCAGTCCCAGGCACCAGCACCAACACCAACACCAACACTTCTCTCTCTCTTGTTATTGCTGCACACAATCAAGTACACCCATCATCCTCCCTCTCTTCACGCCTGCAACTAGTGCTCAATTTTGTGTTTGGCGCATGCTATTGCTAACCAACCAACCCTCTCCCTTCCAACAATTCCTTCTTCTTCCTCTTCCCATCATCATGCCACACTCACCTTTCTCTCTTTCTATGTTTTAACTTTCTCAAACACCTTCTGACTTCTCCACTATCTCTTCCATTGCCCCTTCTTTATTTATCATCATGACCCTCAAACAATTCAACCCAAGTTCCCAGCTTTGATACCCTCTTGGCCTCTTCCTCTTGTCCCCCTTAATGGGTCTTTCTCCAATTCAACCAAAGGTTCCATCTTTGATAAGCCTCCATGTTCTAGCCTTCCCAAAGGTGTAGCCTTTTGGGGGTGTATAAGTAGTTTTGGCACACCCCATTTTTTCTTTTGAAGAAACTGTGTGCTGCAGCTATGGTTGCAGAAGCTTGGATTGTAAAGATGGGTAACCAGGTAAGCTCCAATCTCAAGCATGCCCTTCTTCTTGAAACTTTGACCAAGAGGAAACAGAGCAACAAGAGGTCAGACACCAAAGTAACCATAGGTATTCTTTCTTTTGAGGTAGCAAATGTGATGTCCAAAACTGTGCACCTCCACAGGTCACTGTCAGAGTCTGAGATCTCAAAGCTGAGGAATGAGATCTTGGGCTCAGAGGGTGTTAAGAATTTGGTGTCCTCTGATGAGTCCTATCTCCTCGAGCTGGCTCTGGCTGAAAAGCTTGAGGAGTTGAACAGGGTTGCTAGTGTGGTCTCTAGGTTGGGGAAGAAGTGCTCTGAGCCTGCCCTGCAAGGGTTTGAGCATGTGTATGGGGACATTGTTGGTGGGGTTATAGATGTCAAGGAATTGGGGTTCTTGGTTAAGCATATGGAGGGAATGGTGAGGAAAATGGATAGGTATGTTAGTGTCACTAGGAATTTGTACAGTGAGATGGAGGTGTTGAATGAGTTGGAGCAAGCAGTGAAGAAGTTTCAGCATAATCAGCATGAGGAGAGTAGGAGGGCCTTTGAGCAGAAGCTCATGTGGCAGAAGCAAGATGTGAGGCATCTTAAGGATGTTTCCCTTTGGAACCAGAACTTTGATAAGGTTGTTGAGTTGTTAGCTAGGACAGTTTGTACCATTTATGCTAGGATTTCTGCAATCTTTGGTGAATCAGCTCTGAGGAAGAATGCCCTTGGGCTTGGAGGAAGCTCACCGGTTGCCCAAAATGAATGGGGTAATGTTCAGGCAAGTTCTGAGAGGTTGAAGCGCAACCAGAGCAAGAGAAATGGATACCATTCTGGTTCGGTTGGGAGAATCCCTGCGGCGGAGAAAAGGGGAGCTACTAGTAGGCCTCAGATTGATTTAAGGAGAGGTGAGTTAGCACCTCTCCGACCAGAGGATTTTGGATTTCCATGTGGAACAAGTCCAGGGAGACTTTTCATGGAATGCCTGAGTTTGAGTAGCTCAGTTTCGAAATTTGATGATGCTGATGATGATTATGTGATGAACCGGGAGGATCAACATAGTAGCTATCGCAGTGTTGGGATAGGGAATAACAGCATGAAGAGGGAACACACATGCCATTCTGGTATTCTAACTAATGCTCAAAGTGGTGTTCCTTTCACTGGAGATCTAAGACAAGCCAAATTTGGTGTTCAAAGTTGCACTACATTTGGTCCTAAAAGTAGGTTAGCTGTTTATGCTCCTCCTTCCACACTTGGAGGGTGTGCTCTAGCATTGCACTATGCCAATGTCATAATTGTCATTGAGAAGCTGCTTCGATACCCTCATTTAGTCGGCGAGGAAGCGAGGGATGATCTATATCAGATGCTTCCTTCGAGCTTAAGGTTGTCACTTAAGGCCAAACTGAAGTCCTATGTGAAGAATTTGGCCATATATGATGCCCCTCTTGCCCATGACTGGAAGGAGAATCTTGATGGGATACTCAAATGGCTTGCTCCTCTTGCTCACAACATGATCAGATGGCAAAGTGAGCGGAATTTTGAACAACACCAAATCGTCAGCAGGACGAATGTTCTGCTGCTTCAGACATTATACTTTGCTGACAGGGAAAAGACGGAGGAATCAATCTGTGAACTTCTTGTTGGGTTGAATTACATATGCCGGTACGAGCATCAGCAAAATGCTCTACTGGATTGTGCAAGCAGTTTTGATTTTGAAGATTGCGTGGAGTGGCAATTGCAATGTGGAGATTCTTTTCTCAATTGAATACATTTTGAATTTTGAAATCTTCAATATGGTGGTGAGCATTTTCTTGATTTTAAATATCTTATGAGGATATCATCTCAATACAATGTGGAATTACCAACTTTACACGTTGAGGGCTAATATTGTTGAAGACTTGAAAAGTATAATTGTATTTATTTACTGTTTGACTCGCAGTGGATAAGCAGTCATATTTATAAAGGGGCATAGAAGTTCAATCATACTGAACTTGTATATATTTATGTACAGATTGCTTATTGCTTAGAGTATGCTTTGTTAGAATCGTTGTCATGAATAGCACAGAAAAACTAGTATTGGTTTCATAATTTTTAAGCTGGTGTTGATTTGTTGGTGCTTGTATTTCTATTCTAGTTCTGTATCATGAATATGATCAAATCATAAGGTCTAGTTTTCTTGTCTGTAAGTTAATTCTCCCTTAAGCTTGTCTAGGCAGTTGACAGTGCCTATTCAAAAAATGAATTAATACTGAATTATAAGGAACTTTTACATTATTTGAAATTTGCAGATAGTACTTATGAAGGGAAATATTGTAGATGGATGCTGTCTCAATTGGTTATCACTTATCAATCTATTAAATACGCAAACAATAATTTTCCCAGGATTCTATAACTTCTTTTCCACCAGAAAAAAGAAACTGAAACTCCAACCTTGTTAGATAAAGATTTATGACATGTTAGAGAACCGGCACACATCCTCCTTTCTATTCAAATCTCTCGATTTCTTTCCATATTGGTGCTTGATAATGGTGTCCTACAATGCTGTAGAGTCCAAGATTAGATTACCATATTGGTGAAAAGAGTGACTTATGCTGTCACTGCACTGTTTGAACCACTTAACAAACATAGGAAAATCACACTATGACAAGACATCGTTGACTTGAAGTGGCACAGCTTTGCTGATCCACCATGCTGTCACCTGTGACATTCATTTATAACCCAGCTGAAAATTTATTATCTTCTGCTTGATTTTGCTTCATATCATAACAGAACCCCTCTATATAATATATTAAACTAAATTCATGTATAAACATTTAGGCTAAAGTAATATTTTCATTAGGAAATCATAAATCAAATCACCCCATAATGTGTGTGCGCACGTGCAGAAAGTGAAGTAATCAAGAATATTTATCGTACCTCTGTCTGCAATTAGAAGGATAGTTAACTTATTTTGTTACATTAAATTTGTTGATGATTTGTATTTTTTTTAAGAAAATCATCCCTATAATTATTGAAATTTATCATCTTATTTTTTTTATTCAATTATTTCCACTTAATTAATTAATGTGTGCAGAGAAAATAGTGGTTATATATTTTATCTTGTTAATTTGTGACTAGTCATCTTTTATAATACTCATAAGAAAGGAAAAAAAAACTTTATTAACTAAAAAAAATGTAAAGTAATTGCGGATACTCTGGTGAAAAAATAAGTGTAAAAGATACTTATATGATGGGGAAAAGGTAATGCATTTTATTTCTCCATCCAAATATGAAAAATAAGGAGGATGTCAAAAAAACATAGATCAACATATCAAAACCAGGGTTTTAGAAGATTCATAAAATAGATATATTTTGGGATGTAGGACATGTGGGCAAATGTGGAATGTGTTGTTATTTCTTGTTAAAGCATAAAAAGCGACAGATCTGAATTCATTTTATTTATTTTTCTTTTTGTTTTGTTATTATCTCAGTGGGAACAGAAACACTATCTACCTTGTCAGTTTAATTAATATAATTACTAAATCCAGCCTGTTGAGGCCATGAAGTGGCCTAACATAGGTGGGTAGAAGAGGGCATTCACTTTGACAATAAAAGATCTTTCAAGTGTAGTTGGGTGCCATTAATCTTTTGTGGGGAGTGTTACCTCCTTTTATGAGTTGCTTGCATTTCATTATGTGACACAAAATCAAGGTCCACACTTGTTAGATCTTCTTTCTCATTAACACATGACCTTGTAGCTGATCATGAAATCACATCCATAGAAATATTATTTTCACATAAATATATTTTTGAAAAATATAAGGTTTAATTACTTTTTAAACTTTATAGTTTTATAAAATTTATCATTTAGTTCCTATAATTAAAAACATTTTATTGTAGTTCTTATACATATCACTTATGGGATTATAGGAACTAAAAGGAAAAAAAGATATGTGCAAGAATTAAAATAAAATAAAAATTAATTATATAGGTTAATAGGTAAAGTTTATAAAATTATTAACACCAAAAAGTAATTAAACCAAAATATAATAAGCATGTCAAAGTGATAGTTTTAATTTGAGGAACTATTTTTTTTAGATGAAATGTTAAGGAAATGTATGGAAACACATTTACAAAACCTTCGGACGGGAATTCAATTAATCAAAATGTACAATGAAGATTGTATTGATATGATTTTGAATTTCTTGATAAATATGATTATATATATATAATTGTAATAACAACTTGTTCTTATTAATTTAAGTGATATAATCAAAGCTTATATAATATATTTCTTATTAATTATTGGGTTTGAGAATTTATATATAATTTAAGTGACACAATAAAACATTTTCAATTCTACTGTAAATTGATTTATGTGATAGTCGAAAATATAAGTAATAAAAAAAAATCAGGGTTAGTAACTGTTCATGAAATCACAACCACAGAAATAATATAATTTTTTTAAATAAATATCTTTTTAAAAAATATTATAAGCATGTCAAAATAATACTCTATGCAAACTGAAATATAAGTTAAAAAAAAAATCACGCAACATAGGCTAAAATATAAACAAATCTTAGTTAATTTTATCTTATTTAATAATATCACATCCAAAATATTCTTTATTTAACTGAGGTTTTATTGCTATTTTTTTATTATTTCTGATATCTAGTTTTAATAAACGAGATGTTAGAAATGTAAAGAAAAAGTAAATAAGAGATAAATGACATATTAGACATCTGCAAGTAATTCTAATAAAAATGAAGAGATGAATTATTTTCTTAATTCATATAGTAACATTTTTTACACTCATATATATTATAGCTTTAAACGATGAAAAGAAAGGAATTAAATATGTTTTAGGTATACAGTAGCCAGTAGCCACTAGGTAAGAAGGTGCATGCTTGACATTAACAATTAAAACAAGAGGCAGTTGAGCTGGATGAGCAATAGTAACACATAAAAATAAGGTTTGTTTTTCAATTATTACATCCTTATGTTCAAAATACCCCAATAAAATTTCTTAAGATATAATCATCTCCATTAAAATAAAAAAAATTAAAAAAAAAACTATGGTTCCAAAATTTTGCTAGCTAATTCATTATTGCTTCAGCTATACCTTGAACTTGTTGAGTTTTAGAAGAAAAGAAAGTTGAGTTTCGTGTTGTAACATAGAAAAAGTGTAGAGAAGTGATTAATAATAGGTTGTTGTGTGTTTTGGAAGCACTTATAATTCGTCCACCAATATGGTTCCTAGTCAATTTTGAATTAATGGCTTCTTTATAACAACAATGTATACTACTGTACGGTTCAAACTCTTCCATGGGGCACCTAGCCCCAAGTTTTGCTATTGATGGTAATAATATATCAGTCGATGAACCTAGGTCAGAGACAAACTTCATGTGCAATAAGTCTAAAGAAGGGAACCAAATTAAATTTCAAAACTTTAATAAGATTTTAGAGTAGATTTTGAGTAGTTAATGCACGGGATTTGCATTATGGGACAGTGCAATATATTGTCTCTTTCTCTTTCTCTTTCTTTTTTTATTTTTATTTTTAGAGTGTATTTGAAAAAATTATAAGAATTAGATTATTTTAATAATTCATTATATGTATAATAAATTATTACTATAATTAATTATAATCCGAACAAACTTTTATTTGAGTAGTTTGTTGAAAAAAAACTTTTAGATATTTAATTTTGTTTGGATTAAATAAAAAATTAACCTTTTAATGTAGTAAATCATTTTTAAGAAAAAAATATTGGGTAAGCATGTGTGGACCCCAGTAAGAACTAGTGTTAGAGCATCTGTAATGAGAGTTGTTTATATAAGTAATTCCCTATGTGACTATGTCACACTCATAAAGTGAGTCAGAGCTGATTTGACAGTGATATAACATAGGGAGTTGCTTATAAACAACACCTTTAGATAGTCTTAGTGAGGTTGTTGATTGAGGAGGTTTAACTCACCTGTGCGTCCTACTTGAAGAAATTGCATGTGCAGAGTTTCATATCAATTTCAGTAGCTTCCAACACCTCTTTATGGTATTCCGCTGCATAAGTGGCCAAACTCCACTCAACTACCTTTTCTCTCCTAGATAGACGTGACTCTTTCTTTCTTTATCTTCTGCACCAAATTAAACCTTCTTCTGCTTAATCTTCCAACCCCTACCAAGCTTTTCACAGGTAAGCTTATGTAGGATTCTTTTTTATTTTAATTTATAATGGTGTAACACAATTAAAATTCAACGTATTATATATATGTTATTCAAACTCAGTCAAAAAAAAATGTTATTCAAACTCTATCAACAAATATCTAAATAATACATTATTCAATTATTTAAGTAAGATTTTTAGTTTGATTTTTATATATAAAGCAAAAAGAAAGACTCTATTAAACATAGTCAATTAGATTTTCTAACATATTAATTATTAATAAAATTGATAAATATTTCGTATTAATAATATAGTTTCCCAAAATACTATTCCAATTTTATTACCAAATTGAGTCTAGTAAAAGTGCGTATCCTCGTCTCTAGCACTAGTACAAGAATTTTCTATTATTGAGGAATTTTCTTTTGTGACTTAAATTATTTCTTGGTAATTTTGAGATTTGTGTTAAGAATGACTAAGTCCATTAATAACTAGTCTTATTTGTAAAATAAAAAAGTAGGAGTCATTTGTAATTTTATTTGATTTTTTTAATCTATCAACATTAAATTGAGTATCAATAATTTTATTTACTTATATATTTTACTTAATTAACTAAATTAGATCTCTTGATTGTAATTTTGTTTGATTAAAATAAATTAATAAACCTCGAAGAGAAAAAAAAAAGCATGAGTTTACAAGAACTCAAGTTATGATCAAATTAGTGAATAAATGTTAAGTTATCAAATTTAGGTTGAAATGTTCCAGTTTTATATTTTTAAAAAATAATAGATGACATAATTAGATCTTGAAGTCAACATAGAAATTGAAGATAATTGTCTTAAATTTTTAATAAAATTAAGATCAACTTCATACCATACATATAGATATAGATAAAATGTTTAGACCACATAATGTCTTAGAAGATAAGTTATAGAAATGTAGTTTATGAATGATGATGATGAATAATTTTACCCTTTAAGTGTTTGATCTTATGAATGACTTGAGGTATCTATATCAATGTATAGGAAAGATAAATCATGAGAAAAAACAATTGTGAATGTTATGATTTAAGTTAATTGTTAACGATTTGACGTGTGTTTTGAGTATAACGAAGTTTAAGGTCTTATTGTATGATATTGATAACCTTGCTAGATTAGTTATGTTATTGATCAGGATCATGAGTATATCTTCCTAATCTACTTACAATATATGCAATGTGTTCAGTTTATAATGATTAGGCAAATGCAACAAGGAACTAATACTTTGCGAGTATTTAAGAAGAGAGACGCCCTCACCAATATTTTTCTTCAATTTTATATTAGAATCAAATGAGGTAGAAATATATTTCACATCAAAATAATTAAACTTCTTTAACAATTTTTAATATAATGTGATTGTGTCAAAACAATACCATCATTATTCTTTATTAACTTAATACCTAAAATAACATTAATCGGATCAAGATCCTTCATTTCAAAATTACTAGACAAAAAATACTTCATATCATTTATAGCATGCAAATTACTTTCAATGATTCAAATGTCATCCACATAGAGACATAAAATAACAAATGAATCATCATCAAATTGTTTCATATAAACACATTTATCACTATTATTAAATTGAAAACCATATGACAAAACAACTTTATCAAATTTATCTAGTCATTGTTTAGGTGTCTGTTTTAAATCACACAAAGATTTAACAAGCTTATTTTCCATTCCAAGTTCTATAAAACCTTCAGATTAATTCATGTAAATTTCTTATTCCAAGTCACCTCTTAAGAAAGCAGTTTTTATACCTATCTAATGAATTTCCAAATTAAAAACATAAGTAAGAGCAATTAAAACTCTAATAGTAGTAACTTAAGAAACAGGAGAACATGTATCAAAGAAATATACACCTTCTACTTGTTTATAACCAATAACAACAAGTCTTACCTTAAACTTATCTATAGACCCATTCATTCTTAATTTTTTTCCCAAAAAACCATTTATATAACCTATACTTTTGCAACCAAAAGGAAGATCAATCAAAAACCAAGTTTTATTGACTTTAAGAAAATTCAATTCATCATTAATGATTTCTTTCCAAAAAGGTGCATTAAAATGATCATTGGGGTCTTCCGATGGGAATCCACCAAAGGTGTTTTGCTTTAGCATGTTTATCATAGTTGCAAGAACGATTACTCCAGGTGTTGTTGTACCTCCAGGAAGCCTACAAGCTACCAATGTAGAATAGTCCCTCAAAGACTTATTCTCCTAATTTGTAGCCATAATTTCAGTTTTCTCGGACGTTTTGAATAGTGATTTACTTCTTCTATGAAAAGTTCTCTCAATCTCAAGATTACTTTCGAGTGATTTCCTTAGGCAGAGAGATTTTTGCATAAGCAAAACAAGTTTTCTGTAGAAAAAGAAAACCTTTTGAAATTGAACTCAAGATCAAAACAAAAAATAAATAAATAAAATATAATAAAGAAATAATAAAAATTTAATCTAAATATTTAATAATTGCAAAGTCAAGAGATGTAGTCTCCGGCAACGGTGCCAAAAACTTAATGTGAGAAAATTGCAAGTGCACGATTGTTGTTAAGTAATAAATTATTGTACCCATAGGGACAATGTGTTTGACCTAATAATTATTAATATTTAGCCAAAATTAAATGAATAGATACGAATATTTAAAAATCAAGTAGAGAATGATTTAGATTGATTGTAACAAAAGTTTTAATTGATAAAGAAGTTTCTAGGAATTAAGGTTTGCTTAATGGGTTCCTTTATGTTCATATGCTTTTACCTAGAGATTTAATTGTTCCTAATGAAGGTAAATTAACCTAGAGTATCCTTTGCAGTTTCTCAAGATACAAAGGTGTGTTTAATAGAATTAACTCTTACTCTCATTATAGCTACGATTTGATTAAAGCCATTATGTCATGGGTTAATTTAGTTGATGCTCGAAGAATTAAACTTACTCTCGTGGTTTAAAGCCTAAGTCTATTTCTTTAGGTTCTCTTTTTAGTGTACTTCCCTAAACATTTAAAATTATGAAAAGCGATGAGTAATCGATTATCACATATAAATTGTGAAGAAATAAGATCAATGACGAAACAAGAATTAAATAACAGAATAATTCATATTAGAATCAAGGTTCTCAAAGGGCCAAGTCTTGATCCCAAAAAGAAACTATTCATATATATTCATAGTATTTCTCTCAAAAGAAAATAAAATTGACATAAAAAGAAACAAACCTAAGAATCGCAAGAATACCAACACAAATTACTCCTCATTAATTTATCTATCAAGCATGAAATCCCAAAAAGTCTCATTTCCTAGCCCTAATAATCTAATTTATAACCTAGACAACCTTAAAAGATAAGTCAAAAACAAATTCTTAATAATAAAATAAAACAAAAATCCTAAAAGATAATTTATAACAACTGGAATGTGTCACAGACGAGATTGGTGAGTCATGACCATAACATGTTCTATTTGTCTCTTTTCTCTTTCCATCTTTCTCTTTTCATCTTTATCTCCTTCTTTCTTATCCTTTTTTATTGGTTTTTCTAAGAGATCATATCTTTATCTAAAATGTATGCAAATTAGACAACAAAAGAGAAATGTAACATGCTTAAAGAGAAAAACTAAATTTAAAGTAATTCCTATGGTAGACTATTTATATATGATGCATGAAAATACTTCTAATTGGTTAAATACTTAAGACAAAAACATGATAAAAATGTAAAACATCAATGATGGTGGTCAAAAACTGTGGTGATAAGCAACAAAGATAATGGTAAAGGGTAGTAATGTAACGACAGTGGTGAAATGGTGAAAATTGTTTTTATCTTTTGATGAGTATTTTGTACCCGATAAAAACTTGTTTAAGAACTTATATTAAGTAACACAAAATAGAGGTTTGTCTTCTCCATCTCAATTGTTTTGTTCCACAATCTTATTGTGAATCAAATGTATATTGAGTAACACAAAAGAAAGTCGTTATTTTCTTCATTTGAATTGTCTTGTTTCACTATCTTATTCTAAATTAAATATAAAATAATTATATTTGTCTTTTTTTTTTTATTTTTTTTTTTAAAGTTTGATAAGGAGATATTACTCCTTTCGGTTGAGTGATTTCTATAAAGATAAAACGATATTTCTAGTCGCAACTCTATATCTAAGGTGAATATCATTCTTTAATTAAAATATACAAGTATGAAAGAAGTTCAACTCCTTTTAGTAAATAATTATATTTATCTTTTATAATATTATAATTTTTTAGCTAATCAAATTGATCTTATCATTTGATATTTTATTTATTTGATTTCTATAAAATTATTTTAGCCATACTAATATTTTATATTTTTTAATCCTCATAAAATTATTTTAGTTCTTAAAACATATTAATATGTAGATAACACATGATACTTCGTATTTCATGTCATCATTTAAAGGAACTTCTTCAACAACATAAACTATAAAAACAAAATATTTCAGACACAAAATGACTAGAATAATTTTATAAAAATTAAAAAATAAATATCAAAATTATAGAGAAAAAAATTAAGTCAAATAAAATAAAAATTGGGAAATGTAAAGAATAGCATAAAGATACGACACCGTATGGACGTGTTCTTATTAGTTATGAACCCGATCCAGTTATGACTTACACTTTACGTATCATTTTCTTTCTCGGATCTTGAACAAAAAAACTTACGTTTTCTCACCATTTCTCATTATCCAAACAGGATCTTGCGCATAGTCACCAAATTCTCGTGAGTCCAGAAACCTTTTGCTAGCTATGAGTTACAGAAGGTTCGTTTTCTGAACGACACCTTTTGTTCTTTGATCTCTTCTTTCTCTCGATTGTAATTTTTTTTTTAATTTTTAAATTGCAATGTAATTCGCGGCCTTGGAGATCTTGCATTCATTTCATGTGTTAGTTCTTCGTGCATTCGTTGATTGAAATCTTTTGGTTTGTATGAGGTGGGGGTAGTTCTTAGGTTTGTAGGGTGGTTTCACTGGTTTGGATTTTGGGGGTAATGCTGAATCTGGATGTTGGAATAACTATTGCTGTGAAATGCATTTGCGTTTTTCATTAGCTTTTCAGTGAAAAGGTGCATGTTAGAGTGTTTACGTTAAGCTTATTTTGTATTCAAAACAAGTTATAATCAAAATTTCAGTGAGAGTGCGTGTCTGGTTTGGATTGGTTTTTAGGGAAAAAATTGTTTTTTTTTTTTTTAATGTTTTTCTTTATAATTTCTCGGTTAGGATTTTGATCATAGGCTGTTTTGAAGGCAAAATAAAGTAGTTCAATTCTAGACACGAGTGGAACTTTTGAAATGGATTTTTTTTTAAAAATTAATACAAACTAAGCGTGCTCTTAGAGATTTAATACTATCCTAAAGTTTTTGACAACAAAGAGGTAGAAAGAATCTTGTCCGTGGGGAAGATGTGAAACACTTGCTTACTGGTTAGTGCTTCTTTTACTGGTTCTGAAAAATAGAAGAGTGAAGATTTTAATAGGGTGACAGGTTTTGGAAAATTGGAGGTTTTTGTGTCCAACCAATAGGGTGAGCCTTGGTGCAAAAGCAAGGTTACTTCTTCTTTCCATGGGTTCAAATACTGGTAAGTAACAACCTGTGGAGGTAAGACTGTGTACACATGACAGTGCATCTACCCCTATGAAGCACCAACACATTTGCAGAACACCGTGTTAGTGTGTCTGATAGGTTTTGGACATGATACTAGCAAGGCACGTCTTTGACAAGCGTTGATACCTCTATTGTTTAACAATTAATTTAATTTTTTTTTTGGCTCAGAAATCTCTCTAATACAGTTTGAACACGTCTTTGACACAACTTGGACACGACCAAGTAGAGTGACCTGATACTTGCTTTTAGTTAAACACTTATCTATTACTTTTATTATAAAAACAAAATGTAAAAAGTCACCTTGTTTTATATATGTTGCAAGACTCATGACATTTTTTTTGAGACTCATTTTCATAGGAATTATTAGTTGTTTTAACTTTTAAGAGATATATTCATCTTATCTTGACTTTTTTTTTTTCATAAAAATTGCTCTGTGAAATGATCAATCTTAGTATTCTATTTATAAGGGTCATTATCATATTAAAATCATAAAGTTTAACAACTTTGTTTCTTGAAGGTGAATATATATAACTCTTAATTCTCAAAAATACACACACTCATGCCATGTTCCGATGTCCTTGTTTGTGTCGGAGTTGGTGCTTCATAGATCTACCCTTCTCACATCCCACTTGGTGGAAGTCTCGTGCATTGAGCTCAATTGTTTGTTTGAGTTCAAACAAGGGAATTAGGAATGCTCTGGAAAGTGAAAACTACCTAATTTTATGTGTTTATGACTTGATGTTAGCTTAAAGCCTTAAACGGTGGTTTGTTGACTTGTTTATGAATGAGCTATGAACTTGAGATTATCTCTTTTACCACACCTCTTGAGCTGGTATGAACTCTAGATTTTCTGTAAATTATAAGTTTCTCAGAAAAAGCAGAGAGGTTGAAGCTGCAATGCAAATGCAATTTTCTTTTTATGTCTCATTCAGTTTACAAATTTTGCAAGATTTTGAACTTGCTGCTCTGTTTTCATCTCTTTTGAGCAGATGCCAAATTGAATTAGTTGATATTAAATATTTAAAGTTAAATAAAAAATATTTTATATTGAACATCAGGATAAACATTTCATGTCAAACTCCTTTCTAGATACTTTGCTATTCATTTTTTATGTCTTGGTCATATTAGAATTTTATGTCTGGGCCATTGTTCAAGAGTATACGAGAGTGAGTTGGTGTGTTTTAGCTAAAGTGGCTTGTATGCTCAAAAATACTTGTACTTTCATGGCCCTCTTATATAATCTTTAACTTGTTTCTAACCCACCAATCTTGGACAGTTTTACTTGTGCTTCAATTTTTGGCCTGGATTTGTACTTTAAGTTTGGGCCTCAAAGGCCACAATTTTTTCTTGATGTTTGGTTTTATTTTGCCTCTTTTTTTTTTTTTTTTTTTTTTTTTCCCCTTTTTTTTTTTTTTTTTTTTTTTTTGCCTAACCCTATATATACAAATTTTGGGCCTTTCAATTTTGTTTGAGACTTTCTGTTTTTGTGGCTTTCAAGTCTTCCCTTCAATATGAGCTCTGATACCATAATATCAGAGTATGGGGGAATTATTTCTTCTCTTTATTTATCCAAATGATTGAGTAGTACATATATAGGAAAAATAGAGAACCATAAAAGGAAAAAAGGCAATTTCTATAATAACTAGAAAGTAGGAATTAGATAATTCCACGTTTGGAGTTCAAACCATTGAGAACTAAACCAACTTTTCAGTTACTGTTAACCTGTAAAATCTGATGTGGGGCACCTGATGTTTATTTTCTTCCAGATGGCTTTGCTGTTTTTTTAGAAGATTTCATTTTGTTGTTCTAAACTTTTGGGAATAATGGTGTTCTCTTGTATATTAACTCTTATAACTGTTTAATTTTCAAAACAGAGATAATCGCTCCTCCAGATCATCACTTGTAGATGGTTTTGATAGTCTGGAGGAGGGTGGTCTAAAGGCTTCTTCTTCTTACTCGCGTGATATTAATGAGCATGATAATGATAAAGCCATAGAGAGTTTGCAGGACAGAGTCTCTTTTCTGAAACGAGTAAGTTTTTTCTATCTAAGTACTATTTCACTATTGAAGTATCAAACTATCAATGGAATTCTTGTCTAAACAACTGGCTCTATGAAATCTTAGTTCAAAGTTCTAACTAAAGCAAAGGTACATGGAAAAGTTCTATTAGTGTTGAAAGTACTACTTGCCATGGTTCTACTTTTGTTTAGTGTTGTTTATACTTTGTGCGTATATGTTTCTAATTTACCCAATTGCCAGTTTGGACCATTCACTGAAATATTGGTAAATGTTTCTCGTTTCTAATTTGCTGTGTCCGAAAAAGAACATGTTAGTATTTATTTTAACGGGCATCAGTTGATTTGTAAATTGGGGATCATTAAATGGGGTCCGGAGTTTATAATTACTGCAGGTCTGGAAATGCTTGTGATGTGTTCATGAAGATTATTTGTGTGCATGGTTGTTTTTTTCCTACTACCTCCACTCCTTTTTATGTGTCTTTTAAAGTTATTTCACAAGAATTAAGAAATAAAATTAATGTTCTCATTTTTTTAATTAAAATTATTATCTGATTTCCTATTATACATTTATACCCTTTATCTATCTTATTAATTATCTGTCTTTGTTTCAACCTTTCTCGGAGCAACCATTAAAATGAAATGATCTGTTGATTTATATTTTATTAGATTGTTAATATTTACTTGCTCAACAGTTAACAGGTGATATCCATGAGGAGGTTGAGAGTCATAACCAGTTACTTGATCGGGTGGTATGTATACAACACACTGATCGTGTTACCATTAGGAATTCTCTTCCCTTTTTTCTGATTGGATTCCATTGTAAATTAGGGTAACAAAATGGATGGATCAAGGGGTATGATGATGGGAACCATGGATCGATTTAAGAAGGTAACATTTTTCTGCATTAATGTGCCTCATTTTATCTTCTTTTATTTTCATATTGTTATAAAATGATTTACTGTGTAGAAACTGGATTTTATAGGTTTTTGAGAAGAAATCAGCGAGGAAAACGTGCTCACTTGTGGCTTATTTCACAGTTGCCTTCGTATTCCTATACTATCTTATTAGGTAAAATGATTTGATAATCCTTTCACTGTTTGCCTTGATATGAATGAAACGAGTATTTATGGAGAAAAATCTTAGCTCCTTTAAATCCTTGTTCCTGTTTCTATCAATTTTAGAAGATATTTATACTTTGGCTGGTTCAAAAACAAGTTAATCTTTAAGAGAAAAAAACTATCCAAGCCATTGTTTTCTTGTGCTTATCCTTAAGCACAAGTGCTGCCGAGTCACTAATACAGTTGTTGGCTCGTTGCTACAGACATTAATAAATTCATGAGAAATGAAAGCAATATACTCTCTTATACTCTTTTACTTTTTTGGATGTAATTTTTTGTTGGGTGAAATTCATGTGGGGCCCACTAAATACGTGGGTCTTATTCCCCATCTAGTGGGATTCATTTCTGAACTAGTAGGACCTACACGAATTTTAACTAACAAGGAAGAATGTCAAAAAGAGTGTTATAGGGTTTGTTACTCTCTATCATTGGATATTAAATGGACAGTATACGTGTTGGTTGGATCATGTTAACTGGCACACCTGTAATGAATAATAACACGGGAAAGATGCTTACAATTCACTGATGCAAACTGGTGTTTACTTCGCAGGATTCTTGGATATTTTACACTTGGGTAAAGCACGTGATGTTAAAAGGTCATACATTTAATTGCGTGATGAATGTTTGATGGAAGTAAAATCATGTGGTCCTGTGGTGTAAAGTGTTTGAACCATTCCATTCCATTTTGGCTGGGAGATGGATGGTTTGAGACTCACCTATGATCGCAAAATCTTACTGCATACATACGAAAGTCTATTGTATACTTCCTCTCTTGACCTGGTCCATGATCCATTTTTTTCATAGTTGACATTAGTCTCGAGTTCATATATTATGTAAATTCCTGTAATATGAAATGATTATATTCAATTGTAAGCACCAGTGTTCGTGATTGGATTAGATCGTTTGAGGGAAAAAAAATCCAATCTAATCACTTCAATTTTTTGTTTTTGTTTTTTGACAATCCAATTTATTTGATTTTAAAATCCAATCCAATTAAGTACTATTTCACTATTGAAGTATCAAACTATCAATGGAATTCTTGTCTAAACAACTGGCTCTATGAAATCTTAGTTCAAAGTTCTAACTAAAGCAAAGGTACATGGAAAAGTTCTATTAGTGTTGAAAGTACTACTTGCCATGGTTCTACTTTTGTTTAGTGTTGTTTATACTTTGTGCGTATATGTTTCTAATTTACCCAATTGCCAGTTTGGACCATTCACTGAAATATTGGTAAATGTTTCTCGTTTCTAATTTGCTGTGTCCGAAAAAGAACATGTTAGTATTTATTTTAACGGGCATCAGTTGATTTGTAAATTGGGGATCATTAAATGGGGTCCGGAGTTTATAATTACTGCAGGTCTGGAAATGCTTGTGATGTGTTCATGAAGATTATTTGTGTGCATGGTTGTTTTTTTCCTACTACCTCCACTCCTTTTTATGTGTCTTTTAAAGTTATTTCACAAGAATTAAGAAATAAAATTAATGTTCTCATTTTTTTAATTAAAATTATTATCTGATTTCCTATTATACATTTATACCCTTTATCTATCTTATTAATTATCTGTCTTTGTTTCAACCTTTCTCGGAGCAACCATTAAAATGAAATGATCTGTTGATTTATATTTTATTAGATTGTTAATATTTACTTGCTCAACAGTTAACAGGTGATATCCATGAGGAGGTTGAGAGTCATAACCAGTTACTTGATCGGGTGGTATGTATACAACACACTGATCGTGTTACCATTAGGAATTCTCTTCCCTTTTTTCTGATTGGATTCCATTGTAAATTAGGGTAACAAAATGGATGGATCAAGGGGTATGATGATGGGAACCATGGATCGATTTAAGAAGGTAACATTTTTCTGCATTAATGTGCCTCATTTTATCTTCTTTTATTTTCATATTGTTATAAAATGATTTACTGTGTAGAAACTGGATTTTATAGGTTTTTGAGAAGAAATCAGCGAGGAAAACGTGCTCACTTGTGGCTTATTTCACAGTTGCCTTCGTATTCCTATACTATCTTATTAGGTAAAATGATTTGATAATCCTTTCACTGTTTGCCTTGATATGAATGAAACGAGTATTTATGGAGAAAAATCTTAGCTCCTTTAAATCCTTGTTCCTGTTTCTATCAATTTTAGAAGATATTTATACTTTGGCTGGTTCAAAAACAAGTTAATCTTTAAGAGAAAAAAACTATCCAAGCCATTGTTTTCTTGTGCTTATCCTTAAGCACAAGTGCTGCCGAGTCACTAATACAGTTGTTGGCTCGTTGCTACAGACATTAATAAATTCATGAGAAATGAAAGCAATATACTCTCTTATACTCTTTTACTTTTTTGGATGTAATTTTTTGTTGGGTGAAATTCATGTGGGGCCCACTAAATACGTGGGTCTTATTCCCCATCTAGTGGGATTCATTTCTGAACTAGTAGGACCTACACGAATTTTAACTAACAAGGAAGAATGTCAAAAAGAGTGTTATAGGGTTTGTTACTCTCTATCATTGGATATTAAATGGACAGTATACGTGTTGGTTGGATCATGTTAACTGGCACACCTGTAATGAATAATAACACGGGAAAGATGCTTACAATTCACTGATGCAAACTGGTGTTTACTTCGCAGGATTCTTGGATATTTTACACTTGGGTAAAGCACGTGATGTTAAAAGGTCATACATTTAATTGCGTGATGAATGTTTGATGGAAGTAAAATCATGTGGTCCTGTGGTGTAAAGTGTTTGAACCATTCCATTCCATTTTGGCTGGGAGATGGATGGTTTGAGACTCACCTATGATCGCAAAATCTTACTGCATACATACGAAAGTCTATTGTATACTTCCTCTCTTGACCTGGTCCATGATCCATTTTTTTCATAGTTGACATTAGTCTCGAGTTCATATATTATGTAAATTCCTGTAATATGAAATGATTATATTCAATTGTAAGCACCAGTGTTCGTGATTGGATTAGATCGTTTGAGGGAAAAAAAATCCAATCTAATCACTTCAATTTTTTGTTTTTGTTTTTTGACAATCCAATTTATTTGATTTTAAAATCCAATCCAATTTAATTAGGTTTAGATTAGAATGGCTCAGTTTTCGAAAAGAAGGCGATAAGTATTAGAGTATGCGATTAAATACTCAAATTAATCTAACATCAAACATCATATATAACTTGAAACATTTTCTTTATTTGTTTGATCAACATAATTTAGGTATACACATACATTCGTGTTGTAAGTTAAATAGAATCTTATAATTTTTTTTAAAAGTAAATATACAATAGATTATAAGTATATAGTTTACACAATTTGAATATATAAGCATTTATTAAATGATTTTAAATATACAATAAAATTTGGTTTGATTTGAATCAATTTTTAATATAGAATTTGAAACTCGATTTGATTAAGTGGGTTTTGATACACATTTTCTCATTAATTTTATTTGTTTCTTTATATCATTCCAATATAACACCCCATCATCAGAAAGGTCCAGACAATTAGGGAAACCTAACCCAAATATCTAATCCAAACTTCAATGGAAAGCAGCCCCAAATCACCATGAAATATACCAAACACTTCGGTGAGCTATCTCACCAAACTAAGCCCTAAATTTGAGCGGGCCATCTTGGTCCAGCAGAACCTTAAGCTTTATGCCTAAATGCAATAGAACAACAACCTCAAATTATATGGCTAAAATGAAAAAAAAAATGTTAAATTACAGTTTTTGTCAATATATTATATTTAATTTACAATTTATGTTTCCTAATTCTTTAGTTCGCAATTTTAGTATCTTAATTATGTGAAATATGCAATTTTAGTTTAACTATTATCTATCCACGGTTAAAATTATAATATTAAACATGATTTGATATTAAATAAATAAATTACAATTAACATTTAATAAAATTTATTATTAAATAAATAATATGAAAATTAATATTTAATAATATTTATGTTAAATTGCACTTTAGAATTTCTATTTCTATCTTCATAAAAATACGAAGAATATTAAATAAGATTAAGATGATAAAAAGTATAATTTAACTTAAACATTATTAAATATTAATTATTATGTAATTTAATTAATGTAGGTTATAATCAATGTAACAATTTCAAGGTCAAATGAACATATAATTGTTGGGACAAAATTATGAATTTTACAAAATCAGGAGAATAAAATTGTAGAATTAAATATTAGAAATGTAATTATGATTATTTTAGTTTCAAGTTTGATTCTCGAGTATACAATTATGTTAAATTTAAATAAAATTAAAAGTATAATTTAACAAAATTTTTGAGATAGAATTATAAAATAAAGAGGGAAATTTTATTTATTTTTTATTAAGCACGGATAACATCACTTTTATAATACTCGAGAGTGGTTGCATGCAAGGAGGAGGTATAGTAGTGGCTACGGATGGGCAAAGACCCATGACCTGAACCGAATCCGAGATACCAACAACATTTTTTTTTCCGAGTGATTTCAGATGGATTTTCGGGTTTAATGGGTCAAATTTGGACTCGACGGGTTCCATTCCAAATTTATGAACCCAATAAAACTCGTACCCGCCCGGAGATGATAATAAATAATATTAAATTTAAATGATAAAAGACCTCCAATTCAATATTGTAACAAGCTTAGGAGTACTTTAAGGAGAAGACATATACCTTTATACTGTGGTAGGAAGTTAATGAACAAGTTTCAAAGATTCTAACAAATAAGTCTTAGTGTAGAAAAGTATAGACAAACCATTGAGCTTTATATAACGAGGGCGAGAATTAGGGAGGAAGATATAACCACCATTGCTTGGTTTTAAAGTGGACTTAATCTTGAGATTAAAGATAAGGTTAAACTTTTACCCTATAGAAATTTAAATGAACTAATCCAACTTTGCATCAGGGGAAAGCAACAAATCAAAAGAAAAACTTCTTGCAAGAAGGAATCCTCTAACTTTTTATACCCTAAAAACCTAAAGGAAGAGGAGTACTCATATAAGAGTTACTCCAAGAGTGAGCTACTTAAAGAAAGAGAGGACAAAGGAAAAATCTCTCTAAAGAAACAAACCCCTAACATAAATTATATAGAAAACTCATATAATCTAATTTTGTTTTGAAGGAAAATAGTCAAGTTAAGTTTAAATAAGTTTGAACTTCTCTTAAGATAAAAAATAGAATATAAGATATCATAAGATATATCCAACAAATAATATAAGCCAAAGTGGTTTATTATAATAACTAAAGTAGAAGGAGTTCTAAACAGACAATGGTTGTCTACCTTGGGCACCACAAAAATAGTAGCATAAGAAGTAGAACTAGGTGAAATCCACCTCTTCTTCACTAGACTAAGAACTTGAGATCCTTTCTTTTCAAAAATATGTTGTTTTTTGATCTTAAGCTCTAAGTCCATGAAAATAATAGAAGAAGAGCTAAAATATTTGTAAAGAATATATATTTTTTTTTATTTTGTAATCATCGTTAATAAAAAAATAACTTTCCCTTATCTTAAGATTTTTGATGAAGACACTATCCTCCTTGCTCTTCTCTAAGAGTAATGTCTTTTTTTCTTTTTCTTTTTTTCTTTTTCATTTGGTTTTGGTCCTCAAACACTTGTGAAGGTGTTAGAAAATGGAAAGCAAATTCCTTTTTTTTTTTTTTTTTTTTTTTTTTTTAAGGGATTATAAGTGAAGGTTATTTTGTTGATATGACCATAATATATAGTACACTTTTCAAATTGTCATGGCCTACCAAGCAAAATATGACAAGATTTCATAGGGATTACATCATATAAAACTTTATCTTTATAATTCCCAATGAATAAATTTACCTCCACTTGTTGGTTCATTTCCAATTCATCTCCTTCATTAAGCCAATGAAGTTTATAAGGATAAGGATGAGGAATGGTAGTGAGGGCTACCTAGTTAACCAATCTTGTGCTACAACAATTAGAGCACGATCCACTATCAACAATGAAAGAACAAAGTTTTTTTGAAACCAAACATCTTGTGTGAAATATGTTCTCTTTTTGTGATAGGCTAGTAGGGCAAGGTTGGCTCCCAAGAAGCTTTTTATCCATTAAAAAATCACCATTGTTAGGATAAACTTGTTCAACACTAGCATCTACCCTTTCTTTTTCTTGATTACTACTAGAGAAAGTAAACTCCTATTGGCTACTATAAGTGTCTATGACCCTTATGATCATGGTCTTCTTAGTGGGACATTGAGAAACAATGTGGCCTCCCCTAAGACACTTAAAGCACTTTATATTGCTAGTCTCAGAATTTGTTAGGGGTTTCTTTCTTTAGAGAGATTTTTCTTTTGTCCTCTCTTTCTTTAAGTGGCTCACTCTTGGAGTGACTCTTATATGAGTACTTCTCTTCCTTTAGGTTTTTAGGGTGTAAAAATTTAGAGTATTCCTTCTTGCAAGAAGTTTTTCTCTTGATTTGTTGCTTTACCCTAATGCAAAGTTGGATTAATTCATTTAAATTTCTATAGGTTAAAAGCTTAACCCTATCTTTAATCTCAAGATTAAGTCCACTTTGGAACCAAACAATGGTGATTATTTCTTCCTCTCTAATTCCCGCCCTCATTATATAAAGCTCCATGATTTTTCTATACTTTTCTACACTAAGACTTCTTTGTTGGAGTCTTTGGAGCTTGTCCATTAACTTCCTACCATAGTATAAAGGTATATGCCTTCTCCTTAAGGCACTCCTAAGCTTGTCCCCTTCTAAGGAGGTCCACCAATACATGGATTTCCCTTGAAAGCCCAAGGTAGCCATGGGAACCTTTTTCTCTTCACTTACTCTGTTGCAAGTGAATAGTTGTTACTCCTTCATCTCACAATCTAGATATTCTTCTACATTGTCTCTATCGTAGAAGTAGGGAAGGTCAACTTTAGGTTCTCAATGTTCATGCCTAGGCCTTTGTTGCCTAGGGTGTCTTTGATAATAATCATCATTATGATGACTATCATAGGACCCTTCACTTTGAGTGACGTGAGTTAAAATAGGTGGGCTATTGGGTTTTTCTTCCTTAGATTTACTCTTAGGTTTTTCAATCCCTTGCCTTTAGTTAACCTAGAAGGCCCCTCACCACTTTTAACTTTAGGTTTGCTAATGTCACCTTTCACCATAAATTTAGCCAATAACTCTATTATGACTATTATTTTTTTCCCCTCATTTTTTCTCTTAATATACTCTTTTAACTCCCTAAGTTCTTCCTTAATACTTTTCCTACTACTATGAAAATTTTGACCATGGACACCACTAAAATGATAATAATGATCACTTATTTTTGTTTAAGAAATTTTTTCATAAAGATTTGAAAGTAATTCACAAAAATTGAGCGATAAAAGATTTTCACAAAGGAAAATTCAAGTGTATGTATGCACAAAACCTGTAGTAGGTAAGAATATAGCCTTCTAAATGAATTGGATAAGGAAGAAACACCCCTAAACAAGTATACATAATGAGAAAGCAAGTAAAAGGAATCAATTAAAACATATATTAGTCATTTTTCCTTAGGGTGAAAGTCTAAGTGACACTTAGAGCTCCTTAGAACACTTTCACAAGTACTAAACAAACGATGAAAGCAAGTAAGCTAGACGTATCCCTAGTGGAAGCCTTAGTGACACTTTGAGCCCCTTAGGACACTTCCACAAGCATTAACGTTGAAGTTATTTCACTAAGAAACCAATGAGAGGTGAGAGAACTCTACAGGTTTCCCAAGTCCCTCTTAAAGGTCAAATACAAGTTTAGTAAAACAAAGAAATGGAAAAAAGATTAATAAAAAATGACACCAAATGAAACACAAATGAAGTACAAATCAAGTAATTTGAAACAAATTTAGAGATAGATTTGGTGACGGATTTTCTTCCAATGAAATCTTTTTGTCTCTAATTTTGTCGTTAGTCTCCTTCCTTCAACTTGTTCCTACAAAATGAACACACAAGTTAATCTCACAAAAGTTTTTATCTCATGTTTGGAGGTGTCTCAATCTCTCCAAGTTGCTACCCCCTTTGAAGTTATTCCAATATGCCTCAAATTATCCAAGTCTTTAAAGTGGTGAGTCCTTGAAAGTACACCTACACCACAAGAATGGACAAAACACCAAGAGAGATAAGAAGCCAACAACCAAAACTGAAAATACACAACTAATAAAGGACAAACTTAAGAGGAAAGAGATGTGACAAAATCAAAGAATATTAAAAGACACAAAGTAAAAAAATAAAGGATAGTTTCAACACTAGCTTTTAAAGGAAAAGTTCTAGAAATGATTATAAAATGAAACAAAAAGATTGTGCAATTAATTTGAACACGTATAATGTATTTCCAGCCACTAAAAATAGAGGTTAAAGTCAAGAAATAAATTTCAAAAATACAAGGCCAAATGCTCTAAAAATTACTTTGTTTTTCTTTTCACTTTTTCACTAACTTTTGTATACTTTTGTTCTTTTTCTTTGGTTTCCTTCTTGGATTTTTTTTAATAAACGTAAGCATGAAAAATAAAGGCCAAAAACAGGAACAAATGGCCCAGTAGTGGTGGAGAAAAAGCTATAGAAAGTGTGAGTGTACAAGAAAAGTTTTAAGGACACTTAGAGCTAGTTTTGGTTCTAGTTTTCTCTTAGTTTTGTACACTTCTTTTTGTTATTTCTTTCACACATTATATTCAGGTTTTAATGTTCAATTAAATCACAAAAGACTCAAGGAATTGCTTGCCTTAAATTTCTAAGTAAGAGTTAACAAGTGAAATTCATAAAAATATGACACTAGAACATGCTAGATCTAATAACACGCTAGATCTAATAACATGCATAAGATACATATAATGAAAACTTCTAAGATTTGTATTAGTTGCAACACACAATGTTTATGACACTAAACCAGAGAGTAATGTTCAAATATTCAAAAGAAAAAGGCACATAATGGAAGTAATCACTACAAGAAAAACTGTTATTATATATGAAATATTATCTACGAAATTTTTTTTGTAGATAATTTTTAGTTATCTACAGAATATTACCTACGGGATTTTTTCTGTAGATAATGTTTAGTTATCTACGGAATATTACCTACAAATTTTTTTATATAGATAATTTTTAGTTATCTACAGAATATTACCTATGGAATTTTTTCTGTAGATAATGTTTAGTTATCTACGGATAAAATCCGTAGATAACAACTTTCGTGGGTTATCTACGAAAAACTTTCCGTAGATAACTGTTGAGAATTCCGTTGAAACACTTTTGTTAATATTATGGTTTTGATAGTCTGGAGGAGGGTGGTCTAAAGGCTTCTTCTTCTTACTCGCGTGATATTAATGAGCATGATAATGATAAAGCCATAGAGAGTTTGCAGGACAGAGTCTCTTTTCTGAAACGAGTAAGTTTTTTCTATCTAAGTACTATTTCACTATTGAAGTATCAAACTATCAATGGAATTCTTGTCTAAACAACTGGCTCTATGAAATCTTAGTTCAAAGTTCTAACTAAAGCAAAGGTACATGGAAAAGTTCTATTAGTGTTGAAAGTACTACTTGCCATGGTTCTACTTTTGTTTAGTGTTGTTTATACTTTGTGCGTATATGTTTCTAATTTACCCAATTGCCAGTTTGGACCATTCACTGAAATATTGGTAAATGTTTCTCGTTTCTAATTTGCTGTGTCCGAAAAAGAACATGTTAGTATTTATTTTAACGGGCATCAGTTGATTTGTAAATTGGGGATCATTAAATGGGGTCCGGAGTTTATAATTACTGCAGGTCTGGAAATGCTTGTGATGTGTTCATGAAGATTATTTGTGTGCATGGTTGTTTTTTTCCTACTACCTCCACTCCTTTTTATGTGTCTTTTAAAGTTATTTCACAAGAATTAAGAAATAAAATTAATGTTCTCATTTTTTTAATTAAAATTATTATCTGATTTCCTATTATACATTTATACCCTTTATCTATCTTATTAATTATCTGTCTTTGTTTCAACCTTTCTCGGAGCAACCATTAAAATGAAATGATCTGTTGATTTATAAATGATAAAGCCATAGAGAGTTTGCAGGACAGAGTCTCTTTTCTGAAACGAGTAAGTTTTTTCTATCTAAGTACTATTTCACTATTGAAGTATCAAACTATCAATGGAATTCTTGTCTAAACAACTGGCTCTATGAAATCTTAGTTCAAAGTTCTAACTAAAGCAAAGGTACATGGAAAAGTTCTATTAGTGTTGAAAGTACTACTTGCCATGGTTCTACTTTTGTTTAGTGTTGTTTATACTTTGTGCGTATATGTTTCTAATTTACCCAATTGCCAGTTTGGACCATTCACTGAAATATTGGTAAATGTTTCTCGTTTCTAATTTGCTGTGTCCGAAAAAGAACATGTTAGTATTTATTTTAACGGGCATCAGTTGATTTGTAAATTGGGGATCATTAAATGGGGTCCGGAGTTTATAATTACTGCAGGTCTGGAAATGCTTGTGATGTGTTCATGAAGATTATTTGTGTGCATGGTTGTTTTTTTCCTACTACCTCCACTCCTTTTTATGTGTCTTTTAAAGTTATTTCACAAGAATTAAGAAATAAAATTAATGTTCTCATTTTTTTAATTAAAATTATTATCTGATTTCCTATTATACATTTATACCCTTTATCTATCTTATTAATTATCTGTCTTTGTTTCAACCTTTCTCGGAGCAACCATTAAAATGAAATGATCTGTTGATTTATATTTTATTAGATTGTTAATATTTACTTGCTCAACAGTTAACAGGTGATATCCATGAGGAGGTTGAGAGTCATAACCAGTTACTTGATCGGGTGGTATGTATACAACACACTGATCGTGTTACCATTAGGAATTCTCTTCCCTTTTTTCTGATTGGATTCCATTGTAAATTAGGGTAACAAAATGGATGGATCAAGGGGTATGATGATGGGAACCATGGATCGATTTAAGAAGGTAACATTTTTCTGCATTAATGTGCCTCATTTTATCTTCTTTTATTTTCATATTGTTATAAAATGATTTACTGTGTAGAAACTGGATTTTATAGGTTTTTGAGAAGAAATCAGCGAGGAAAACGTGCTCACTTGTGGCTTATTTCACAGTTGCCTTCGTATTCCTTCTTAGTTCAAAGTTCTAACTAAAGCAAAGGTACATGGAAAAGTTCTATTAGTGTTGAAAGTACTACTTGCCATGGTTCTACTTTTGTTTAGTGTTGTTTATACTTTGTGCGTATATGTTTCTAATTTACCCAATGCATTTGCTTTTTGGTAGCTTATTTTATCAGAACTCCACAGTTAAGCGTGCTTGACTTGGAGTAATATAAAGATGAGTGACCTTCTAGGAAGTTTCCTACAAAAAGTGCAATAAGAAAAAAATACGTTGAAAAGTGAAATGTTGTGAAATAGCATCCTTGAGAGGCTAAATATGAGGGTTGTTACATTAATAAATTTATTAAAATTAAACAAAATTTTTTCGAAGGCTATCTACGGATAAAATCCGTAGATAACAACTTTCGTGGGTTATCTACGAAAAATTTTCCATAGGTAACGTTATCTACGACCTTATTACCTACGGATTTTTGGCTGTAGATAATTCGTAGATAATTAAGACTTATCTACGGATTTTCATGCTTATCTATGGATTTCTTCCGTAGATAATCATGATTTTTCTTGTAGTGAATGACATATAAGGACTAAACAAGACAACTAGACAAAACTACATAGAATAGAAAATTGAAAAAGCACTTAATCATACACTTTTGTTTTAGAATTTCTTTTGACCAAAAATTAATAGATTCAATCAAGATATAACCAAGACTTAAAAAGAAAATGCTAGTTCATAGAATACCTAAAGACTTAAAGAAGCTATGAAAAGATTTTACCAAGAAGACCTTGCTCTTGATAGCAAATGATGGAAGCCTTAGGAGAGACTAGATTGATGTTGCTTCTCCTTTAAGCTTCTATAAATGGATCTTCACTTCTTGGACTCCTCTAAGCTTCTTCAATGGCTTCTATGGATGCTATAAGTCATTTTCACCACACAAGATGATGAAGAGAGTCTCCTTGATGGCGCCACACATTGAAAAATGACAAGCCTCTTCAATTTCTCACCACACTCAAGAGAGGATAAGAGAAAAGGAATAATTTCAAAGCGAGACACAAACTTTGAGAGAGATTTTGTCTAATTGACTGTATAATACTCAAAGTTCCTACAAAATGGCTCAAAGCTACAATATATATAATTTAGTTGGCTTATGGTACAAGCTAGATTAACCATGGTTAAATGTAACCAAGGTTAGCTATCTTGTACTTAAGCTAACTAACTCTAGTTAAATGTCTAGAAGTCTAGTTAATTGTCTAGAAGCTTATGGAGCAATCTAAGATAATCCTAGTTTTAAAATAATTTAGGTTAGGTTAACTCCAACTAATTAGAACAATCATTACAACTACTAAATTAATGATTGCTTTTAACAAGTTATTGAGATGTCGCTATCAAAGCCAAACGACTTAATTTGTAGCTTGGATGACAAGCTTGGCTTGTTTTGGACATCTAAACTACTTGCATAAGCAAGTGGACATCTAAACCAAATGGGGAAAAATAAGTTTGGGTCATCCAAGCCCAAATAAGTCTAACAAGACTTAGCTAGTTACACCTCCTCTAATCTACTAATTACATTCTCCAGTAATACAAGGACAAAATTACTTACACTACTTGACCCAAAATACAAAGCCAAAAATATCCTAATATAATCACTACTAAAATGAATTATAAGTAGGAAAAATGTATAACAACAATAAGAGTCCTTTAAGGTAGGGTAGACCTCCAAAGGTAGAGTACCTTACAAAATAAGGTAATTGTCCTATAATTATTCAAACAAAATTTAGCAACCTTCATCCTTATTAGACTTATCTCTTCCAAATGGATTCTTGGGAAGTACATTCCATCACTGATCTATACCTTGAAGTTGGTGTCTTTTCTACCACACATAAAACTAACTACCTTGTTAACTATTGAAAGCACAACTACAAAATAATATTGAATTAGAAATCTTGTGACTAAATAAAAACCCAACACAAGATAGAATGAAACTAAAACAAAAATATATCACAAGTTTAAATTAATTGTATGCAAGAAGACTACAACCCGAATTTTAATTCCATTCAATGTTAGAGAGTCATCATCAGGTGCTATTGGCATTAGAATAGAGATAAGAATTCAATATGATAATAAAGTGATGGTGAGGAACAATATAAAGAGAGACAATATTTAAATGTATATGCGAAGAAATCTAATAAAGAGGTTCAATTTAGCTAATTGAGTAAAAAAATTGATTAAATTTTAGTTTGTTGTGTTAGTGAATTTTCTATCCTAACTAAAGAGTATTAAAAGATATTAGAAAAAATCACACCTACCTCTTTATTTGACAACGCCCGCTATATATTACTCCTTTGGCTTTAATATCACCAATGATCCGATGTTATTATATCTACCATTTGAAACCTTATACAATGTTAATTAAGAAATATTCTTATGAACATTAAGTGAATTTTTTTTTAACAAATTGGACTATCTTACTTTCTTCATTGAAGTTCTCTAATCCTTTTTGTTGCATTTGTGGACTGAGGGGTTTTGACGTAGGCACAAATCAAGTACACTCCTTGCACATGATCATTTTTCTTCATTCTTCAAATTCCAAGCAACATTCCATCAATACCAAATATATTAGTATCCAAATTCAAAACCAAAACATTTAAATTTACTCACACCTACAGGATTTGGAATAGATTTGACTTTGATAGAAAAACCAAGACTAGTAAAAGTGAAGATTTGGAGGATTTCACTATAAAACTTCATGTTCTTAATGAAGGTTATTATAACCTCCAATAAGTATACAATTATTGAGAGTTTTATTAAACTTAGTTAAGTTCTTGCAATTTTTACTAAAACCTCCGATATGTGTCTATAGTTTAACATGAACCCTAGTTATCCTTATTTTTATTTCAATTAAAATTTATACTACATTAAAATTTGGATTCCTACTCTTATTTCATTTTTTTTAGTTTCCCTCCTCAATATCCAGATTTCCTTTCTGAAACCTTAACTCTAGAATCTCCCACACACATGACTCTCCACTTTTACTACCATTGTCCACTCTTTATTGTTGGCTCTTTGCTTTTGGCACAATGCATTCTTTATTGCCCTCTATCTACTTCCTATTGTCGGCTCTTTGCTTTTTTTTGTCGACTCTCTACTTTCCACTACCTAGTTAGCTCTTGGTTGTTTGATCTTCACAATTGCACACTATAGGTACATGGTTATGTTTCTGCATGCCTTGGTATTATGAAAGTGTTTGATTATGTAATGCTTTCTGAGAGAGGAATTTCTAGGAAAACCTTTTCAAATCAAAATATTCTCCTTTTCTTTTTTATGATATTTTTTTTCAAAATTCCCAGATGGGTATTTGCTTGGGTTTGGTGTGGTTTAGTTGGAATAAGATGAATTCAATTTAAAGTGTTGGTGTTTTAGTATTGTAGACTCCTAATTTCGTCCGGGACCTGCAAACAAAGAAATGGACTTTAGCACTGGACAAAGGAGTCCCTAAAGACCTGAATATGACATCAGAACAAAATGATATGACATCAGAAGGCCCAAAGCCTAATAAAGGTGAATTAGGAGTCTGAAATGAGTCATTTCAAACTCCTAAAAAGGCTTAAAAACTCTAGGTCGAAATGGGTCGTTCCTAGTCCAGAATGGGCCGTTTTGACACAGGTTGTTAAAGGTAAAATTCAAACCTGGGATGGGTCGTTCCATTCCAAAACATGTCATTCCATATTCAAATTTTTGTCTTAACAAACTAATCTACAATGGGCCATTTCGAAATCAGAATGAGTCGTTCTGGTCAAGTCTAACATTTATAAATACCAAATTTCGGCACCACAAAATTAATGTGATTTCTTAAATAATATTATAATAATTTTGATTAATTTTGTAATATAATTAATGTAATTTCTTAAATGATTTTTATAAGATTAAAGTTGAGCCATTAGATTTATTCAATGATTATTATTGTTGTTAGAGAGAGACTGGAAAGAGAGGATTGCAAGAGAGGATCCAAATTCATTTTTATTTGGTTCAATTGTTTTGTTTTAAAAAAATTGAGCTATACACAAACTTATAGTGTGTTAGTGCGTGGAATGGTTGAATAGAGGAGATGAATAGTGTGGATTAAAAAGAAATTTAAATGTCTCGAATAAATGACAAAGGAGTATAATAATTCAATAATAATAATAATAATAATAATATATAAATAGTTAGGAAGGAGATGAAAATAATAAAAAAATTAAATATTTAAGATATTTCAACATATAGAAGAATAATAATTATTTTAGTAAAATATTATTTTTAAAATGTTTTTTTTAAAGACTTCAACATATATCATATTGTGATATTGAGGACCTTTATGTAGTTGTCTGATATACCTTGAAACATCATACAAATGAGTTAGATCAAGTTAGTCTTTACTAGCTAAGCTTAAGCTTGACATTGGTTGAAAGTACATGTCTTGAGTTTGATATGTTTATACTTATCATAGTCATTTTTAAAAGGCTCAACATGTGTTATATAAAAGTATTCCCCAACCTATAATTTTATTTAATTAAGGACTTATATTGTAATAATTTAACACTAATATAGAGGTAAAAATATTAAATGTACTAGGTTTTATAAAAATTGAATCTAACTTTCTTATATGATATAAACATATTTTTAAGGTCTAACATGTAATTCATGATGATAATTTATCTAAAAATAATTTTGTAATAAGATTTAAAAATAGGATATAAATTTATCTTTACTTATAAACTTCCATTTTCACATAAGTCAATCAACTTAATATTTAATAAGATAAATAAATGTAAGATTTTAATACATTATAAAAAAAATTGATACAATAATAATTTTTAAGATTATACTTTTAATCCTTTATCTTACTTTTAAGATTCAATTTGGTCATTTACCATATAAATTTGGATTGATTTGGTCCTTTTTAAAATAATGACTATTTTTAATTTTGCAACACTATTTTGAATTTTTATTTGACTCATTTAAGACATAAAACTTATCCCATTTGAATCACCT